GTCAGGTAACCCTGGGTCATATGCACTCAAAGAATTCCAAATTTTTCTATCACTATTTGCTGGTCTTCCTTGGGTTTAAGGAAATCTTTCATTACAGCTATTAATTTATCTCAGGTCAAAGGTTTAAATTCTACAGTTGCCTGCATACCTGGTTCATGGGCAGGATGGAACCTTAGAGGCAACAGACATTTGGAGGTTTTAGGAGAGTTGCTGGGAAAGGGTAGGGGTCTGGACAAGGGGAAGAAGAAGGAGAGAGATCAGAAGGATAAGGAAGAAGAGGGAGAGCTGGCTGCAGGAAGGCAACTGGAGGACAAGGAGGGGGAAGATTTACTACGGAAATGAGTCTAGGCTGTTAAGTTTGCCAAATTGCTCATTAGCTTTGACCAAAGAATCTTTTAGTGAAGCAATTTTGAATAGAATTTCATTTGAATGCTTCTGCAAACCAATCAAAAAATGTTGCCCACTGGGTCTGAGAAAGCTTTTTCTCTTTCTTTTTTAAGGTACCTCTCAAATGAATACTTTTCTTCAAGTCCAGTGTTCCACAGAGTGGCCATTAAAGGCCCAGATCATCCTTGGTGAAGTTATGCCATTTGAAATATAGGTGCAAGAATTAGAATTATAATGAGTGGACATATAAAAAGTAGGAGTTTTTCCGAAAAGGGAACATTCATATACTGCTGGTGGGAGTGCAAACCGCTGTAGCGACTATAGAAAACAGTATGGAGATTTATGAAAAAATTAAAAATAGAAATATCATATTTGTCCTACTACTGGGTATTTGTCCAAAGAACATGAAATCAACAATTCAAAGAGATTTATGCATCCCTATATTCATCACAGCATTATTCACAATAGTAAAGACGTGGAAGCAACCCAAGTGTCCATAAATGGATGAATGGATAAAGAAGATATGGTATATACATTCAATGGAATAATAGCCATAAAAAAGACAAAATCATGCCATTTGCTATAACACGGATGGAACTTGAGGGTATTATGTTAAGCGAAATAAGGCAGACAGAGAAACACATATACCATACGATTTCATTCATATGTGGAAGATAAATAACACGTAGATGAAGAGAACAGATTAGTGGTAACCAGAGGAGACGGGGGTCGGGGGAGGGTGAAAGGGATAAAGGGGCACATGTGTATGGTGACAGATAAAAACTAGACCACTGGTGGTGAGCATGATGCAGTCTATACGGAAACTGAAATATAATAATGTACACCTGAAATTTACACATTGTTATAAGCCAATATGATTTCAATTAAAAATAAATAAATAAATATTGAAATGTAAAAAAAAGAAGTAGGAGTTTTTCCAGAAGGAGGAGAGGAATTTGACTTAGACTGCCCCATAAGAGCTGGCAAGGGTTAGTTGAAAATGACGCTTGTGCACTTTGAGTCTTGAGACCCCAACTTGATCGGTGCCTCTAAATGTAGACCCAACAACCTCCACCTCCAGGCAGGTGGAAAACCAGAGAGAATGCTCTCTGTAGATCAAAGCCAAACTCTCAGGACAAAAAAATCAAGACACAAGGATAACCTTATCTGGTTTTATTGGTGACCCGAAGCAAAGTTTGTCCGAAAGAATGCCAGTCCAGTGAGAACTGCACTGGTCTGTGAGGCCAGCTAAAACAAAAGGCTAAAAGGTCCCATGCCTGTGTCCTACTCTGTGACAAACAACACTTTTAGACAACATAACACAAAACAGAAGCAGAAAAGAGAGCAAAAAGGGATGAAAAGGAATGGCTTGACTCTACCAAAGGTGCCAAACGAATGGGAACCAATAACAAAACCCAGATGTCAAACTGAGACTAGATAGCGAAAGAACTGAAAAATAAAGAGCAGAGTTCAGACAAGTGCTGACTTACCATGTCAATGCATGCTCGACACTGCGAGCAGTACGGCACAAGTGGCCACACCTTGTTGAAGGCTGGAGTCCGTGGTGACAGGCAGTACAGACAGTATCTTGGTGGAACCTTCAGGAAAACTGTGGAAATCAACAAAGACCACCAAATGAAAACAAACAGAGGTTATTTATTCAGAGCTTGCTATAGCAAGCCACCATCACTTGTGTTTGGCAGAGACTTAAAGGCAGGCAGGGGAGTGGGAAAGCTTAATAGTGAAGAAAACAGAGGACTTCAGAAATGCTCTGATTGGATCTTGGTGGCATGGGGCAGCTGGAGGTAGGCTGTCCAGAAACAGGGCATTTTATGGTTTGTGAAGCATATTTGGCTTCCTCTGACTGGTCCTGAGTTGGATGCAGGGGCGAAAACTGGGGAAGTTGGCACTGTGACTGACGAGTCACTGACCGAGGCTCACTGTTCTGGGCTGCTTGCTGCAGAGGTTATGGTTTGGCTTCCTGGACAGGTTGCTGCAAAGGGTTGAGGGTCAGAGTTCTATTGTCATATATGATCTGGCCCTTGTCTGGTCATAGATTCAGTCTCGCACAATGGCAGCTCACCATCACAGATATTTTAAATGCTGGCTGATGGACCATATTTTACTTTTTTAGCTGTTGAACTAGGAGTCACGCAATAACAATATTTGGTCGTATAACATTTTAAACTTTCTTTTTTTTTTTTTTTTTTTAAGATTTTTTTTATTTTATTTTTTTCCCCCCAAAGCCCCAGTGGAAAGTTGTATGTCGTAGCTGCACATCCTTCTAGTTGCTGTATGCGGGACTCGGCCTCAGGATGAACGGAGAAGTGGTGCCTGGATGCGCACCCGGGATCCGAACCCGGGCCACCAGCATCGCAGCGCGCGCACTTAACCACCAAGCCACAGGGCCGGCCCTTAAACTTTCTAATACACTTTCAAATACATTCTTCCCCCCTTTTATCCTTACAGCAACCTTGTGATCTTGGGAGGTTAATTATCTAAGATCACTCAATGGATTTGGGCTAGAATTAGGATTAGATCATAGTAGAGAGTGATTTGTAATATATCACTCAAATTGTCTGGTATAGATATCATCTACAATGGCTTTAAAACAAATATTTTGGGTTCTGTGCTATGATAAAGGATCTGTTCCAATTGTTTCTAATTTCATTGTCTAAAGTTAGGATAAAGACTTGAGGGATCATAGCTCTCTTCAAATACCTTCAAGGCTGTCGTGTGGAAGAAGGATTAGGTTTATGCCTATGGCTCCAGAGAGCAGAACTCACGCCTCCAAAAGAAGGGGTTGCCTTGTGAAAAAGCCAGTTCCTCATCTCTCATAGTGTTGAGTCCAATTCCATGATCCCATACCTCTAGAGAATGCTTGAATTGGCCAGCCAGCTAACCTCGAAGGACTTCATAAACTTCAAGTTTATGAAATTTTCTTAAATTCTAAAAGGAGGCATAGATCTTTTAAATACAGCAGTGGAACATCATTCAAATTCTGGATGAAATTCTTATGTTTCTCAAAAACAGTGAGCTCTACTTTAAACTTTACCCCCAGACCCTTTTTGAATGCATATTTTTGTTCTTATGCCCATACATTTTCAAGAACAGTTTTTTAAAAAAATGAAAAATGTCCTAATAAGGAGTCATCTAACCCAATCTTCCATCAGCATTGTTTTTTGATTATACAGTTATAAAACTTTATACCAGATGTATTGTGCTTGTTGATGTTTTAATAAATTGTAGGAATTCAATGAGGTAAAACAAAACAAAAGAAAAACAAAAAACCTGCCTTTGAATAGCAAGCACTAGGATTTGAATCTATAATCTTAACTCTTTGAACATGTTCTTTTTCTTCTTTATGGCTTCTTTTTTAATGTTCCTTCAGGTTGAATGCAATTATATTCTTTTCTAGTTTAAAAATAACTTGAAGCTGAAATAAAACAGTGAGTCCTCTTCCACCCCTGAACTGTGATTGTTTGATGTTCTCCAAGGACTTCGAGGGAGCCTCTCCTCCCCTCGCTTTTTATCTACCTCTTTAACTGTTTAAATCGAATCCCCTAATTTTAACTGTTTAAATCGAATTCCCTAATGCCAGACAGGTATTTCCTTTTAATGCTGGGCTATGGTTTCTCTCTGAAAAACAATACAGACTCCTGGATATTCTCCCAGAATCTTAGAAGTCACTGCAGAGGTAAAGTAGGCAAGAAGTTGGGGGGAAAGAAATGCCCTCTGCATAAATCCAGTTACTCTGAGTCGTCTTTGACAACTTCCGGTACCAGACTTCAGGCGTTGTTCGAAATTGTCTACTTTACCACGTCTATTTATTTTTTTATGATTGTACATATTTACATCCGTACACATATGGCAAGGGAGACACGGAGCGATGACGTGAGGCTCTCCTTGAGAATCGGAGGTAATAAGGAAAAGAAACAGGTGTCTGGGAAGGGTTTCTGCTAGAGAAGGGAGCACTGAGAGTTAACCATCCTTCAGACAGCAGGAGTTCTCTGCAGGTAGCAGACTGGAAAGGCGAACGCGTGCCCCTCTTTGCGGACAGGCTCTGTTGCTTTCTATTTCTTCGCTTGCAGCCAGGGTGCACATTCACTTGAAACCGACTGAATTTCCTGCTCAATGGCTGGTCAAGTTGACTCTTCAAGACTAGTGGATATTGCTTTTTAATGTCTCCAATGCTTTTTTTGTTTCTGTCTCGAGTCTCAGAAATGAGAACGGGAGAAGGAAACAGACTTAGAAGCCGGAGAGCAAAGCAGCAGCCCCCGGCCCCGGTATCCTCGGGCCCCCCTGCCACCGGCCGTTGACCTCCCGCGGAGACCCCACGCGGCTGCATCAATATTTGATCGGCCCTTCGCCAGCGCGTTGCCAGCACTCAGCGGCGGGGCTTGCCAGGCATCGCCAGCACGGAGCTGAAGCCGGCGCCCGGGCCCGCAGGGGGCTT